TTTCTGATATATGTCTGAAATGCTTGTCTGCTTGAACTCGTAACTAAAGAATAAAAAAATAAAAAAAACTTGGCTATTTCAATCAGATGGTCTCATTGTACAGCGCTACGGAATCTGATGGCGCTATATAATAAAAAAATAATAATAATAACAGACACCATCTGAATGGTGCAGCATGGCATTTTGCCACCCTAGAGAACTAGATCAAGATTGATGATCTCAGCTAAGAAAGCTGGGGCCAGCTACACAGAGCAGTATACCTCTTCAATCCTTGCTGGGTTGTGGGGTTACCTAAACAGTGACTAAGGCACTGGAGCATTTGGAATACACATTTGTATTCCTAATGCTATAGCGTTCTTTTAAGCATTCTATGGACTGTAACATACCACTTTCGTAGGAGATCCATCTCGAATTTATACACTATCTCACATATGCTCTTCAAAGAGCTTTCAAAACCATGTACACTGTAAGCAACTTTGTTTGGTAGGACATGACCCATATGCCATCATTGATGCACTCCTGTTCTAACTTCTGGACACTGTCCAACTGATTACTTGATTTTGGTTAATTTTGCATTACTTTCATACATTGCTCACAGACAATTTTAGTCCTAAAGCCTTCAAGTAGGCTTGCCAGGTAAACATGTTTTTTACTATATACGGATGATTACTGCATCCTGTTAGGAAGGGCATGAATGTGCTACCTCTTAGTTAGGAGAATTCAACATCTCCTGATGTGATATTACTGAAATGATCCCACTGGTTCCTATGAGATATCAGCCATTATTAATTATTTGAAATCAAACCAGGAGCTCTCGCTTTCGTTTTCCAAAAACTGCTGACGGTGCTTTTGAAACCCTGTTTGATGGAATTCAGAAATACCATGTCAAACAAAACCACGGTTATCTCATAACCCTACCTAAATTGTGGAATGCATGGTATGATAAAAAACCTAAAACAAAGGTAGCACATTTTTTGAAGAGGGGGTATCATTATTAAGCAACATCTTTGCTCTTTTTTTTCTTTACTTTTAAGAAAAAACTTTTGAAAGTATGTGTTTCATCAGGAGATCACAATAGAATAGAGATAACAGAGATAAAGTTGATGTGTGTGTATTTACAGTCTATTCTTCAAGAGGCCTTGCCCAGATCATCTGTGATAAGGAGGTCACATTGTCAGGTGCCAAATCTTAAGATCTCTCCACACCACTTCAAGTAAACCCAATGAATGTGTAATGGAATTCTAAAAGTAGAAAGTTCCTTGTACACAATATACTTGTAAAATATAATCTTGTCTTTCCAAAAGATATTTTGTTTGAAGTGCCTGCTCGACCTGATGCATCTCCATTGTCCTACGGCCAATATTTTGTCATGTTTATGTGTTGCCTTATGTATCATGAAGTGTTGTGCTCTGTCCCCATTTGAATCTTCTGACTATTGACTTTTTGTGTTGTCATTTTGAAATCTTCTATAAATAATGATTATACGAGATTATTCACTAAAATGAGAATTCAAAGTAGCCAAACTGGAAGCATAGTTTTCGAGTTTAGCTATTTTGCCTAAAATTTAGAATTCACTTTGAATGCTCACTATAGAGAATACCCTATAGCAAAAGGCAATTAATTTAATTTTAAAAAAATTGGCATTTCTGATTTCCTTGTGCTGGTGTTAATGGCACTACCAGTGTGTGATTAGTATTCACACATCCACTGTTTTACTGGATATTTATCACTTCTTCAAGTTGGCAGACAGCACATGAAAAGTGTTGCCCAGCGGTATGTAGAATTTATATACTTCAGGTTTTTTTAATGATTGATGATGTAATTTACCTCCATGGCTTTTGTAGATACTGGAAGGTAGTACATTTTGTGTGCTGAAAATCAATAATAATAATATACTTGCCAATTTTTGGTGTTCCGAGAATCGATACGAAAATGGGAGGGGGTGAAGGGACGGCCAATGATGCAGTTTTGTCACTAACTCCATCCGAAGAGGGTAGGTCGAATGCACACCGGGCTATTAACTGGTAGGCCGAATGCACACCGGGCTAATAACTGGCAGGTCAAATGCACACCGGGCTAATAACTGGCAGGTTAAATGCACACCAGGCTATTAACTGGCAGGTCGAATGCACACCGGGTTATTAACTGGCAGGTCGAATGCACACCAGGCTATTAACTGGCAGGTCGAATGCACACCGGGCTATTAACTGGCAGGTCGAATGCACGCCAGGCTATTAACTGGCAGGTCAAATGCACACCGGGCTTCCTGTCAATCCCACAGGCTGGCCAACTAAGGGTAAACCCTGCTGGGAGTATTGTTTCAGTGCTGTCTGCGGGGTCCTTAGTGCATTGAACATAGTGGGAGTGTCTAATGATGTGCTCTTGCTATGCTCGCTGAGTACAGTTTTCTGGTCTCCCCAAAAGCGAAATACAAGGAACTAAGGGAGGCAGGACAGGACCTGAAGATCTGGCTTTTGGGAAACCTGTAATAAATTATGTGGTTGCAGGAAAACTTGGTGGATTTAGCAAGCCACAAAACCAAAATGTGGGATTCTTTTTCAACACAAGTATTTAGGTAAACACTTTTCAACGTGGATATCAGATTGCTCCATCTGTGTTTAAAAACCAAATAGCAAAACATACCATGTTAAATAGTTAGTGCAGGAGGGATTTAATTCCTCTTCAGGAACAGCTAAACTCAAATTTGTGCAAGCTGTGATTTGGTACATCAAAAGCAACTCTACAGTCACTGCAATCCTTTAAACTGGAAATATGTGACAATTACATCCGCCATGAAGTTTAACCAGTATACAGTAGGTTGTATGAGTATCATGGGAATTACCCACTTGATTCCACGCAGCAGGACAAGTCCCAGGTCAATGATGAGTCGTCCCTACCCATGCACCCTGCCACAGCGTTCAGGAAGATCTGTGAGAAGGAATGGGGGAGAAAGCAGGCATGCCTCAAGCATTGCACACCTGCCGCCTCTGTTAGCTCAGGACAGTTGACGGAACGAGGAAGCAAAGGTGATTTTTTTTTTAGAATCCAATTATAAAAATGCTGGTTTCTCATGGGATTTGACACTATTATGAACTCGAATACAAACCGGATATTCCTCTCCCAGCAAGCTGAAGTGCTTTATACGTGTGGACTGTTCTTTTACGATCCCACCCTGACCAGACACATGCAGAAATCAGGAGCTTCTCATTCTGGTCTATGGATTTATTTTTTCATATCATATAAACACCTGTCCAATAGAGGTATATGTCATAGCATACCTCCCAACTCAGGTATCCTTAGAAACAGGACGGGGGGTAAAGAGAGTTGGCCAGTTGCACGATTGTCACTAGCTCTGCCCCCAAAGGGTGGGGTCCACCCACATTAATGGAACATCAGTTTGATGCGAATACACACAATGCCAATCATTTTAGCAGGTCCACTGAGTGGTAGCACAGTTTGGGTGCTCTCTGCAGGGTCCTAATGCCCTGAACATTGCGCTCGTGCAATGAGTGTCTATAATCCACAAAAGTGGGACACTAGGGGCTGGTGGGACAATCCTGCCAATATTGACGGTTGGGAGGCAAGCATGTAGATTACCCACAGCTGCGATACTGTTTCAGTGCTGTCTGCAGGGTCCTTAGCGGGAGTGTCTAGTTATATTTTCATGCTATGCTTGCTGGGTACAGTTTTTATGGTGTCCCTAAAAGCGAAATACAGGGAACTGAATCGGTGTGACCTGACCAGAAAATCTGGCTTTTGGGGAGCCTGTAAAATAAGTCATGTGGGTGCAGGTAAACCAAAATGGAGGATGTATTTTGGTATAAATTTCTCATGGGAATTGACACATAAAATATGCTAAATTGATAGTAGCCAATCCAAATTGTGTGTAATATGAGCACACCACACAAGCAAGCAATAATTCTTCCTGTGACGTCCTAGGAGCTAGTAGTGCAGACTTATAGCTGCAGCAATTTGTGAAAATCACTGTGTTTATAAGCCACACTAGGCAGGAAGCAGGGTGCTCTCTGCACCATAACCTTTGTGCTGATACAAAGATTTTATAGTGTTTACAGTGACCCTTTCATGACATTTGTGCAAGAAATGTGCAAGGTGTGTCTTTGCTGCCACCTTGTGTACTTTGTAGAAATTGTGTTTTGCAGATCAATTAAATTTTTCTGTACTTTTATCTGTACATGATATTTGCTTCTCAATCTTCATTCTAAGTGGCTAAACTTTAACTTAGCAAGATAAAAGCTTTATTACATATTTAGCATTACCTAGAGAATTAGAAAATGGATGCCACTGATGTTTTTATGGTGTGATTTGCTTTAGAGATGTGGAC